GTGAGTATTACTCTCTCTCTCTCTCTCTCTCTCTCTATTGCCACAATGGCAAGATCACTGAAGACTTCTTGTACAATGCTATTCCTCAAGGTTTGATGTACTTTGGATGATAGAAGCTACACAGTCACATAGTTGTTGTCTTACATGATGTCTGATGATTACATGCTTAAGCTTTAACAAGATTTCTAGTAAATTGGATGATTTCTTGTAGTTGGCTGGTTTTATGCTAATTACTATGCCTTTTGTTTCCCAAATATCTTAACAAGATCTACATGGTTAATTTACACCCGTCCCTCGTTAAAGCTGACTTGTTTGCGTGTAGGTTTTTGGCTGAAAGAGGGGCATTGATTCTCACAAGTCCTGATGGTAAGACAATTAATGTTGGAGATATATACAAGATGATTCTAGGATCAAAGTTTGGGTGTTCCTGGGAGTCCTTCGAGGCGTACAGGCACTTAAAATCACTTGGCTACATAGTTCAGCGATATGGCATACCTTGGACATTGAAGAATGATATTATCTGCTGCAGCTCCAATTCACCATCAGAAAATAATACAAGATGTTTTGAAATTTCAAACTTATTACAAGATATGCAGATCAGTGAGTTGAAGCCGACATTTAAAGTATATCTGCCTAATAGCAAGTTTCGAAAATCTTCTCCCGGTGATCCAAGTTTCCTGCTCTGTTTATTAAGGTAGCCAAATATAATGTGTACTTTTAGGCCAAGGTATTTTTTTTGTTGAACAATTGCTGACTATCAAAATCCTATCTTGTTTCATTTAAAAAGAAAATTTGTGTTGTTAAAAATTTGTCTGTGAATAATCTGGTGATTGCTAGAAACTATTTATTTCCAAAATACATGCCATCTGCCTTGCACTTTAAAATTATGTGGTTTTCACATGCTTTGTTACTTTGTTGACATTGTCAATGACAAGCTGCATGCTGATCTATAAATATGAATGAGGTTGTTTTTCCTCATATTGATTGGATCCATTTATATGCTTCATATTTCAGTCAACTTGTATGCTTACTGTTATTCAACCATCTTTAGTGTTATTAGATGTGCATTGATGTTTTTCATAAGATGCATTTTGGTGAATGTGAATTTTTAAATTTGGATCTAGCATTTGGAATCTTAGTCTGTTCTAACAATGAAGTTCAATTAGTCATTGACATTGTGATTAGGCTTTGCTAACTATGTTGCCTCTTTACATTGTTGACTTTTGAAGTTGGCTTTCTACATTGTTGGTTTTGAAAGTTAAACGAGCACTGTACTTCTTTTTTTCTCTAAAAACATAAAACCTCTGAAACAATCTTTTTCCATTACATTCGAAAAATATATATTTTTGTTTATTTTTACTACCAAGTGTTTTGCTGTTTTCTCTCTTCTATTTGATATAGACATATAGGTAAATGTCTAATCTGTAATCACTTGTCTGTTCGTAATGGAGAAGGAAGCAATTGTATTATTTTCATCAGATAGTTTCTTCATCTGCTATTTCTTGTTTTCTAATTTTTTCTATCATACGAGGATTCTTCTTTAGTATCCGTAAATGTTACATAATTCTTTTTACCTATCCTTTGTGCAGTGGGAATCCACCTTCACGATCCGAAGTAGAAAATCTTGAGAAAAAATGTGATGGTTTACCCTTGAAGTTCTGTTACGTAGACCATGGACGGGTCAGTTTCTTTTCGTTTGATAAAGAACGACTCCCAACCTTGCCGTGATAACTTTTATTCTGATTGGTTGACAAGGAAAACTATTCTGCTCGTAAGCTGGATGCATGTGTACTGATGATGATACGTAGTCTTATGGGAGGAATCGAGTTAAGTATATTTATATGTTGGTTTAATTTCGTTAATTGGTGTCATTTGGCTCATTTTTCATATGTTGCTATCAGAAACTTTAAATTTACTGCAAAGAATATATCAGAGCGTTGTAGTTGCACACACTGGTCTCAATTTCGTTAATTGGTGTTATTTGGCTCATTTTTCATATGTTGCTATCAGAAACTTTAAATTTACTGCAAAGAATATATCAGAGCGTTGTAGTTGTGCCACAATATAGAGCAATAATTTTCTGCAAAAAAAAAATTGAAGCTGGCTTACCAGATGTTATACATCCCTAAAGAGTTTAGTATGCAATCTGTAGTTGATGCCATGTCTTCTAATGCTTATTTTTAAATGCATGGTTTTTGGTTATAAGTTATTATTAAGTATAATATGCAGAAATGTATACAACTTATTGATGTGAAACCATGACCATATCACATTGCCTGCAAATTCTTAGATTGAAGGTGTAAAGCAAAAATGTGCTTCTAACTTGTTTACCTTTGTTTGGTAGCTGATGCTAGTTGACCTAATCCTGTAAAATCTAGTCATGGCTTATATGATAAGCTTCCTAAATGTTGTATTTGTGTGGAGAAGGCTGGCTAATCACCTTTCAGTTCAAAATGTGATTCTTGGTTGCTTCATTTGTTTGTGCAGCAGATATTGCAGGTTGACCAATGTTATTTCTGTTTTCTATTCATCAAACAAAACACTATCTTGAATTCAGTATCATACTGTTCAAGTGACGACATTGTTTATTACTTTATTACATCATTACAGTGTCATTGCATGATAGGGATAATGAATTTATTTGACAATTGCATTTTTATTTTCGTCATATATGCTTATGTTAGTTTGCTGAAATATATGCTCATTATACTATCATCAACAATTCCTTCTCACGTTTCAGAACCTATTATGTGATTAAAAAGAAGAGATGGCATGCATGTAGAAATTGCTCGAAAACAAGATATCTTCATACGATTAAAAAAATATGACACGATGTCCTTGTAACTCATGTATTCCTTTTATCATGGTACAACAGCTATTAGCAAATCTGTATAGATGAATAGCACTTGATTTTGGAAAGGTTTCCCTGTGAAATGCCAGAAACATGTATTCTCAAGCTGCAACTTCACAGCAAGCTATTCTGTTTTTTCACCCTTTTTTTCCACATTTGTTCTCTACATTTTATGCCTTGGCCATTACTGATGCTTGAAATGATCTGATTTGCAGTTTGTGCGGGAGATCAGGCATGATGACGGAAGCCTTGCGTTTGGCTATTGTAAGGATCATACGTTTGATTAAAAATTCTTATGCATGCATAGTTTACGGGGTGAAGGAAGAAGCGACAACGGCGATGACTAATGCCACTGCTGAATGGAAATGTTATGTAACTCTACATTTATCATCATCATCGTCTTTTTGGAATGAGAATTTAAGAGAGTTTTATCTCTCTAGGATGCAGGTCATGATTTTTTTGTTGTTGTTGTTGGATATATGGCTTATTTCCTTGGATATGCCTATTGAGTTAGATAACACACTGTTTCATATGAAATGTAATCCAATGTATTGACGAGTTTATTGATCTTTTGCTTTTGATACGAGTGGAAGAGTGATTCTGCTCGAGCTGTGCAACTGTCGTGATCCTCGCCAATGCATTGCCAGCCAGCACGAGCAGAGCTCGTGCATGAACTCAAATTTTCTTGATATCAGAATAAAAAATCTGATTGCAATATTCAGCATCCGATCAATTCCTCAAAAATATAATAACTACTGCACTAATTCGAACCCTTTAATTGATTGCTATTAAATTCGTGTTCGTCGATTAAAATCTGATGCAAATAACTATAATAACTAATAACTATAATAACATTATATTAACAGACGTCCTTCATCATTTAACGACACGGCCCATCAGCCCATAGTTGCGTATACTAACTAATAACCTACATGACGGGCTATAACCAAAGAATCTGACGGAGGCGGTCAGTGTTTCTTGTTTCTTGACAAGACGAGGAAGAAGAAGACGAAGAAGGAAGCTTCAGCTACAAATCTTGAAAGAGGAAGGGGATAGTCAATAGGAAAAGATAACTAAGTCGACGAACTTCTATTTTCCGGGTTTTTCAATCTGTTAAAAGCAACCTCTTTTCGTCCCTGTAGAGAGAGGCGATGCCGTCGTTTAGGACGCGCTTCAAAGGGAAGGCAGTGCGGTTCAGCCGCTTCGACATTTGTCGCCTCCTTGTCGGCACCTGCGGTCGCTTCGGCGGGCGCCGTGGCCACCTTCACGTCCTCGACCTCTACGCCACCCGACGCGGCGACGTCATCAACGAGGTGGCCGCCTTCGACACCGTTTACGGCGTCAGCGACTGCTGCTGGTCCGAGTCGCACCAGTCCCTCGCCGTCTCCGCATTGACCGATGGCACCGTGAAGCTGTGGGACGTATCACTGCCGCCCGCCCTTAATCCGGTGAGCTACTTTTGCGAGCACTATGACGAAGCTTGCTCCGTGGACTGGAACCCCGTCAGCGACTGCTTCCTCTCGGCCTCCTTGGACTCTCAAATCAAGCTCTGGACCCTTGACCGCTCCAACAGCAGCTACACATTCCAACGGCACTCCGACAGCGTTTACTCCGTCGCCTGGAACGCCACCGACCCCCACGTATTCGCCTCCGCCTCCGGCGACCGCACCGCCGGCCTGTGGGACGTCCGCGACAACAGGTGTTTCACCGTCATCCATGACGAAAAAACTCGTCAACTCGTCTCCTGCGGCTGGAACACGTACAACCAGTTCCACTTAGCCACCGCCTCCGGCAGTTCCATCAACATCTGGGATGTCCGGACGACCCGGAGTCCCCTGGTCAACTTCAGCGGCCACGACGACACTGTTTGCCGCATTCGCTTCTCCCCCCACCAGCCCAGCACGCTCCTCTCCTGCTCCGTCGACAACACCGTGCGTATGTGGGATTGGCGGGAGGGGGCCTCCATCGCGAGGTACGACCTCCACACCGATCGCGTCCACGGGATCGACATGAGCGTGCATATCGAGGGCTTGATCGCGAGCGCTGGGTGGGACAATCTCGTCCATATCTGGCGGGACCGCCCGGTCACAGCCACGCTTTCACGGTCTCCTTGACCTCTGGTCCTCCTCGTGAGGAAAAGTCGAAGACTGATGGGCATAAAGAAGGGGGAAGAAACAGAGCTCAAGGAAGATGGTGATTTTTGTGACAGGATGTCGAGTGATAATTAGAATACAAATACCAAGTTGAGATCGATTGCTTAGTTGTGATGCGACAGCAACGTCTGTGCTATCACAGATTTAGATCATGCTATGTTGTTTTGTTCCAATAAAAAGACAAACTATAATAAACCAGCAATTGTGTTCTTTCTCATCAGATAGTTTCTTTTTTTGATGCAGACATATGAAATGACTTGTCTGGTCCAATGGAGGAGGAAGCAATTCCGTTCCTTTCATCAGATGGTTTCTTGTTTTCTATTTCTCTTCCTATAATAATAAATACATGAGGCTTCCTCTTTAGTTGTCAACAGACATCCTCCCCGATCATAACTTCACGGCCCATAAGTCCGTAGCGGTCTAACTATAATAACTAATAAACCTACTGTTCCTCCTCATGGCGGTGAGTGTTTCTTGTTTCTTGAGGTGACACAAGCAAGAAAAGAGGAAAAACGAAAAAGATAGCTAACTCAACGAACTTTTTATTTGCCAATCCGTTAAAAACGAAAAGATGAAAGATTCAAAGAAATAAATAATCTATTCTCTTCTGTCGTAGGGAGAGAGCGAGAGAGAGGGGGAGAGAGAGAGAGATGGCACTGCCAGGGATTAAGATTTGGACGCGATACCGAGTGAGCGCGGTGCGGTTCAGCCGCTTCGACGATTCTCGCATCCTTGTCGGCACGCGGGATCGCTTCAACAGGAGCCATGGCCTCCACGTCCTCCAACTCTCCCCCACCCCGTCGGGCGGCGGCACCGTCAACGAGCTGGCCACCTTCGACACCTTGTACGGCGTCAACGACTGCTGCTGGTCCCAGTCACAACGGTCCCTAGCCGTCTCCGCATTGACCGATGGCAGCGTGAAGGTGTGGGACACATCACTGCCACCCACAGCAAATCCGGTGGGCATCTTTCGCGAGCACATTGACCAAGTCCGCTCCGTGGACTGGAACCCCGCCGACGATTGCTTCCTCTCCGCCTCATCGGACGCTAAAATCAAGTTCTGGGTCCCTGACCGCAACGACAGCTACTACACCTTCCAGGAGCACTTGGATAGGGTTAACGCCGTCGCCTGGAACGACATCCAACCTCACGTCTTCGCCTCTGCCTCCGACGACCACACCGTCGGCCTCTGGGACATCCGCGACAACAGGTTTATCACCCGCATCCCTGTCAACCACCCTGGCGGACTCGTCTCCTGCAACTGGAATAAGTACAGCGAGTTCCACTTAGCCACCGCCTCCGGCACTTCCATCAACGTCTGGGACGTCCGGACGACCCAGATGCCCCTGGTCGACTTCAGCAGCCACAACCGCAATGTTTGCCGCATTTGCTTCTCCCCCCATCGGGCCAACATGCTCCTCTCCTGCTCCGTCGACCACACCGTGCGAGTGTGGGATACCCAGGCGCAGGCCTCCGTCGCGAGGTACGACCTCCACGACGATTCCGTCTACGGGATCGACATGAGCGTGCACATCGAGGACCTGATCGCCAGCGCTGGGCGGGACAAGCTGGTCAATATCTGGCGGACCTCCCCACACCAACGCCTCCTGCATTCCCCTTGACCTCTGGCCCTCGTGAGGAAAAGCTGAGGACTGATGGCATGAAGGGAAGCAGAAGACGAACAGCTCGTCGCCAACCCAAATGGGATCAGCTTGGCTATCGTAATTCTTGTCACAACTTGGAAATCAAGTTGCAAAAACTGACCTGAAACTCGCACATTCCAAGTTGTATTTCTCGAACCTCCAATTAATACCATCGACATCTATATTGCTGCCAGCTTTTCCCTAAGATTTACCTTCCTTTTCTTGTCGAGCCAATGAGGTTGTCATGGATTAACTCTGAAGAAACTAAAGTTTTCCAAGCACAAGTTACCATGGACAGGAAGACAGATGAATTTAAAGCTTCAGGTAGAACACTGAAGGAGTGGAAGATGGATGGATTCTCCTGTGACTGCACAATAAGCTTATAAACATGTCTGACCTTTTATTGACTGGTTTCTCATGATAAAGTCAATAAATACAAAATGAAGCTATGTAAAAATAGTTTCATGAACAGAAGAGAGAAATTTGTTTCTTTATTACGAATACTCTGTTTAGAGAATGTATCACAAACTCAAATGTTTCAATCTCATGTCATTTCTGTCAGTTTATTGTAGAATACCATATGATCAGGTCAGTTGTCTATGCATATGTATCAATATTATTATGTATGACAAATTTAAGCTTCATCTAACAAAATCAGAAACAAGAATGTAAATACAGATAAAGAAAATGGTTCAGACTCTAAGAACACTAACAATTATCATTGTAAGCAATTAAATGAAGCATATACTATGAAACAAAGATAAACAGAAGCCCATAAAATTTAGGTTCCTAACTTACAGCAGCATCTGGAAATCCAAAAACCAAGGCAGTGTGGCCTCATAGAGCTTGATTTCCTTTTATTGAACATAATTCCAAGGATCAACCTATACAATTCAGATGCCAGAAACTTCCTCCTGTCTAAGAAAGCAAGGCATCAGGTAAAAATGTACTCTACATCTGAAGGTGAGTTCTTGGTGCAAAATTCTTCTGATTTGTCAGATAGAATAGAGTAATTACTGCTTCTCACATTCCTATAGTAGCAACCATCAGTGCTTTCATACTTGTAGACTTGCTGAGTGCTGGCTACACCACTCTGCACCAAATTCCCCTTCACTCGCATGTCACCACTTCCAGTCTGCAGATTCTTCAAAGAGCTATATGTAAAGCCAAATTTCTCTCCCTTGAGCTTCTTCTCGTTGAATCCCAGTGATACATTTGCGACCTGATCGTAGGTGTCGTTCCCTTGGTCGACAGTCCCCGTGTACAGATAAAGCGGAAAGCTCCGGTGGACATGCTCCGAGTACAAGACGGAAGATGGATGCTTGGCATAAGTACCGTAGTTGAAATCTATAGTCTGATTGACCGTCTGAACGCTTCCATTCCCAGAAAACACCATCAAGTTCTCATA